CCCACCCAATCATCAACCTACCTTTATTTCCCCCTCACTCTTCAGCTTTCCACCCCCCACACACCTGCAGCCTCTCCCGTGCTCTGAAGCCCTGACTGCTATGTCACATTGGCTGTCATACGGGGGCCACCTCAGCAGCATGTAAGGATACAGAGCCCACCATTTTCTCCAGGGGAACTGATCTCTGCCATCTGGAAAGCAGTTGTAATTCTGAGTGATTTCCAGCCCTCACCTGGAGATTGGACACATTTTACCTCAGAACAGCAAACTGTTTAGAATGTTAGAGGCAAAAGCCAATCAAGTCGCATATGCAAACGACCTCTGTGTTCCGAGGCAAAGGCCAATGAGGCTGCATATGCAAATAACCTCTGTGTTCTGACTGGCTATGGGGGGGGGAGAGGAAAAGCGAAATGTTTAGAATGTTGGAGGTAGGACTCAGGCAAAGCAGCCAGTGGATGGGGAAACCCTCTGAATGACAGATCAGAGAGTGAACTGATTTTGGAGCGTGTGGAATGTTCTAGAGAAGTGCCACCACCATTCGGCTTTTATTTATAAGGGAGATTATGAAGGAAGGGGCTATACATGTGCAACAGGAGTACTGATTGGCAGGAGCTTCCAGTCTATGGCGGTGCGTTGAGCAGTCGCATCTCCCGGACCTCCTGGGGATGAGGCTGCGCACCGGCAGAAAGAGGCGGGTGAGGTATCGCACCCCCCAAGGAGCCTGAAGAAAGGCTCCTGGCCAGGGGACTCGCGAGAGGTTGCCTCTTTGCTGGCGCGATGCTGGGAAATCGAGGCGCTTCTCTGTCCCCATGGTCCCTCTGCCGAGTGTCCGTATGGAATTAGTGGTGCTGACTGGGACAAGCGTGGGAGATCGAGCGGTTAAAACCGAAGGCAAAACGAGGTTGGATGACCAAATATGAACGTGAGTCGGAACAGAGCGGTTTTTACTAAGTTAGAAGAAAGCTCCCTCACCCCACGGACCAGAGAGTAAAGCGAGCGGGGGGAGGGGCCCCTCCCATGCGCATAAACCTTTAAGCGAGAGCAGGGGGGCGGAAGAAAAAGCAGTAAAAACTGTTGGAAAGACTTACCAAGGCGCATACGACCGTGTGAGCGCATATTCAGAGACTTTAAAAAGTTTGGCGAAAGTAAACAACCGATAAAGATGGTGGGGAAGAGGACGGAGAAGGAGAAACTTTTAAAAACAAAACTAGCAGAGAGCCCACGACCAGAAGGAACCACCGAGTTGGCTAAAACTATGGCAGAGTCCCTGCGCCCCCTGCTGGAGCAGATGAATAACCTCAAGGAGCAGCTGTCAAAAATGAATGAATGTATGACTACACAGCAGACACAAATCAGCGAGAGTTTAAAAATCACGGAACAAACAGCTGAGAAAGTGAAAGAGGTTGACGCCACTGCTCAAAGGGTGAAGAAAAAGGTGCAAAAATTGGGGAAAAAGCAAATCTCAACAGAAGAACAGCTTCTACAATTACAAATGGAGAAGGCAAATCTGGTCCTTCGCTTCCAAGGCCTCCCAGAGATTAAAGGAGAGAATCTAAAGCAAACGATGAGCGAAGCATTGGCCTCAGTGACAGATTTGAAGGCAGACTATCGAAATGGACGTGATCTACAGGGCCTACTCCACATACATAAACAGGAATAATCTGCCTGGGGAAATTGTAATGA